CCGGCCTGTCCCCGTGGGCTGGCTGCCCTCGTCTCGGCTCTCGCTTCCGCGAGGGGTAGTCCCCGGGCAGCAGGGTCACCGTGAGCCCGGACCACACGGTGCCTGGGGAGGGCCTCGCACAGATCCGCGGGGAGGACGTCGCTGTCGCTCCCGGTTTCCCTCTGAAGGCGGAGTTCCGAGTTTCCTGCTTGACTTTCGATGTTTCTCTGCGTCCTGCATGGTTTTCGATGGGAGGGATGACCGTGTGTGTTAACCCGATGTCCGTTGCTGGCAGCACTCCGTGCTCTCCCGGAAGTTCGTGGACGTGATGACCGAGTTCAACGAAGCCCAGACGGTCTTTCGGGATCGCAGCAAGGGGCGCATCCAGCGGCAGCTGGAGATCAGTGAGTGCAGCCGCCGGCCCCTCAGCCTGCTCTGTCTTAGGCCTGACCCCAAAGTGCCCTGACTCCAGGACGGCCGCTCTGTCCGTCTCTTTTTCTAATATATTTTTATTGATTTCCGAGAGGAAGGGAGAGGGAGAGAGAAACATCAGTGATGAGAGAGAGTCATGGACCGGCTGCCTCCTGCACGCCCCCCATGGGGATCGAGCCCACAACCCGGGCCTGTGCCCTGACCTGGAATGGAACGCTGACCTCCTGGTTCCCAGGTCGATGCTCAACCCCTGAGCCACACCGGCCGGGCAGCGCCGTCCATGTTAGAACATTTCGTCACTCCCAGACCGACACTGCAGCGTCCCGCCCATGAGCAGTGCGGCCGGCCTCCCTGGCGGAGCTCCAGCAGCCCCAGGCCAGAGCTAAACGTCCAGGAAACGGCGCGTCGTCTCCTCGCTCCGTAGCTGAGCCTCATGGTTCACCCATGAGAAGGCTCTGGCGAGTGTGCCCGGTCCTCCTGCTCCCCAGCCTTCGGGCAGCCTCCTTATCAACACGCCTCAGAGCGCGTGCTCGGGGGGCTGGGGAGGCGGTCACAGGGCTCAGGGCTCGGGTGCCCGTTGGTGGCGGGGGCTGGACCCTCACTCCTCAGGGTGGTCGCTGAGGGGAGGTTTGCCTTGACCTTCCAGCCGGGAAGACGACCACGGACGAGGAGCTGGAGACCATGCTGGAGAGCGGGAACCCCTCCATCTTCACCTCCGACGTGAGTGCCGCCCGCGCCTGCGCGCCCGCCCGGCGTGTCCCCGCCTGCGAGGGTCCCCGGTCCTCAGCATCTCTCCCGTTCCCCACAGATCATCTCCGACTCACAGATCACAAGACAGGCCCTCAACGAGATCGAGTCGCGGCACAAGGACATCATGAGGCTGGAGACCAGCATCCGCGAGCTGCACGAGATGTTCATGGACATGGCCATGTTCGTGGAGACGCAGGTGACCGCGGGGCCGGGAGCCGGAGGGCGGTGGGGGGGGGCTCTGTGAGATCCGCGGGCGACCCTGTGCCCCGGGGAAGCCCTGTTTCGGATGCAGCCTCGGCATTCAGAGCTGATAGCTGTTACTGCAGCGTGAGTCCGAAGTGCTGGAAGCAGCTTAAACCGCGGTTGGAGGCCACTGGTGGGCGGTGAGGTCCGAAAGGTTGGCGACCGCTGGCTCAAACTGCCAACAGCAGGGACTGGCTGGTTCATGGAATCGGTGTGTCCACAGGGCAGCCTGCTGGGCAGCCAGAGGGACACACACTCCTGTTCCCTGAGGCTGTGTTGTTTGTTTGTTTGTTTGTTTGTTTTTACTCCTCCCCCGAGGACATTTTCCCAGTGATGTTTAGAGAGGAAGGGAGGGGGAGAGACAGAGACACATCGATGTGAGAGAGACACATCCTTTGGTTGTCTCCTGCACACGCCTGACCAGGGCCCCGGTTGGGGAGGAGCCTGCAACTGAGGTCTGTACCCTTGACTAGAATCGAACCCAGAACCCTTCAGTCGACAGGCCGACACTCTATCCACTGAGCCACACCGGCCAGGGCAATGAGGGTTTTCACTGAGATAGACAAATGCTGGACTTCTAAGTTAACAGCGATCTATAAAACTTTACGTGGAGACTATATACACATGTGTGTAAAGATAACATACATTTGACACATGCGTGTGTGTATATACACGCAATGCCATGTGCTTGGCTCCCAGGACAGAATTCGCAGAGGGAGGGAAGCAGGCCATGCGGTGTGATGACAGTGGCCCCGGGAGTTTAATGTTCTTCCCTAAACGATGTGCGTTTTCACGTCCTGCCGTGTCTGAGCCCTGCCCCTGGCTCCCCGTGGGGGCCTGTGCATAGTGCGCGACGTCGACTCACCTAGTTCACAATGTGTGTGTAGTCGAACTCAGAGCGGGTGTCAGCCTGAGAAGCGAGTTAATTGTGCGTCCTCTCCATGCCTTACGATGCCGCTGCAGCTGCGCCTGCAGGTGGACAGGACACCAGGTAACGCCTCCCCGCCACGTCCCTGCACGCCTCTCGCCCGACATTCCCACTCATGACCTCGGTCGGCCAGCGTCGCGCCCACCGCTCAGCGTGCTCGGTCACCGCGCTGCCGCCATCCCTTTCGCTCTTTTCAAAACATGAACCGGTTTTGATGACTTCGTGTCAGTCCATTTGTCATGGTCTCATCTCATGAACGTCAGAACGACATCTGGGTCCATCCACACGCATCTCGCTCGCGTGCGAACCTCCTCGGCTTCGCGGCGTCTCGGAGACGCGGCGGGGCCGCGGGAACGGCTCCTGAGCCGGAACGTTTTGTTCTCAGGGTGAAATGATCAACAACATAGAGAAGAACGTGATGAACGCGGCGGACTACGTGGAGCAGGCCAAGGAGGAGACGAAGAAAGCCATCAAGTACCAGAGCAAAGCGCGCAGGGTGAGTGGCCGCGGGGGCAGGTGCGTTTCCCCGCCGGCCGGCTGGCTGTGATCTGGGTCGGCTGACCTCAGAGGCGTCCCAGGAATAAACACGTCTTCGTGCTGCGTTTTTAAGCGGAAGCCGTTCTTTTGCTGAGAAGCCTGGGAGTTTGTGAGGTAAATTACGCTGAGAGCCCCTCGCATCTGAGTAATTCAGACCCTTCGCAGATGGCACCCCCGCCCCCGCTCCCTCCTCCAGGGCGGGCTCATCCCCGAGTCCGCTGCCTCTCGGGTCCTTCTTTGAAAGAAATAAACGAACGGGATTGGCCGTTCTCCTAAAACCCATGGGCTACACATTTCACGCAGTGAGCGCTGCGTTCTCGCTGAGGCTGCTTGCTGACCCCTTGGTGGGGAAGGAGGAGGGTTTGATGGCCGAGAGGTGAGGTCCAGGAGCATCCACACGGAACCTTTGTATCTGAACCTTAAACGTGTCGTGTGTGAGCCAGAGCCCTTCCAGGGAACAAGGAGACGACACAGTGCCTTTCTGACTCGGGGACGGAAGGCTGTGTGTGTCCGTGTGTCCCTGTCCCTCCTTTCCATGCGCGTCCGCCTCCCGCCTCCTGCAAGCTGGCTGCTGGGTCTGCAGAGGCCGTGTGCTCAGTGCCGGCCTGGGGTGCGTGCGCGTGTGCGTGTGCATGTGTGTGCGTGTGAGTGGGTATGTGCGTGCGTGTGTGCGCACGTGAGTGTGTATGTGTGTGCACGCGTGCGCGTGTGAGTGGGTATGTACGTGTACGCGTGCGCGTGTGTGCGAGTGTGTGTGCGAGTGTGTATGTGTGTGCACGCGTGTGTGCATGTGAGTGGGTATGTGTGTGCGCGTGTGAGTGTGTGTGTGCGTGTATGTGCACGAGTGTATGTGTGTGCGTGTGAGTGGGTATGTGCGTGTACGCGCGTGCGTGTGTGTGCACGTGAGTGTGTGTACGTGTGTGAGTGTGTATGTGTGTGCGTGTGAGTGGGTATGTGCGTGTACGCGCGTGCGTGTGTGTGCACGCGAGTGTGTGCGTGCACGTGTGTGCACGTGAGTGGGCGTGTGTGCATGTGTGTGCACGTGTGTGCATGTGAGTGGGTATGTGTGTGCGTGTGAGTGTGTGTGTGCGTGTATGTGCACGAGTGTGTGTGCGAGTGTGTATGTGTGTGCGCGCGCGAGCGTGTGTGTGAGTGGGTATGTGCGTGTGTGTGCGTGTGAGTGTGTGTGTGCGTGTGAGTGTGTGTGTGCGTGTATGTGCACGAGTGTGTGTGTGCACGCCCGTGCATGCATGCAGCCATGTCAATCAAGGCCTTGGAATGGGGGTCGGGTCCTGCGCAGGCTCCTGTGACGACAGGTGCAGGGCTGCTCCCCTGTCGCCTGCAGCCCCTCGTGTGCTGGGACCTGGGCCCCCAGGTGACCTGGGACCTGGGCAGGCTTCTGGCCTCCTGTCCAGTCAGTGGGCCCCGCACTGACCCTCCAGCAGAGGGCGGTGCTGAGCCTCGTCCAGGCTCAGAGGGCTTGGCCCCTCAAGTCACGGAAAAGGGGCAGCTCCCCCCCTTTTGTCCAGGCCAATGGGAACATTCAGGCAAGGCTCATCAGTGTGGAGAGATGACAGGCGTGGGGTGACGCACCCCATTCCAGACCTGCAGGGGCCTCGCTTTGGGGCCAGGGGTCTGGGGATCACCCAGCGCCAGCTGATGGCTCACCGCTCGCTCGTTCCTGTGAGGTGCCTGACGCCCCCAGCGCACGGCTTGCTGGACCTGCCTCCTGCTCCTCAGCGCTTGCACGGGGCGGCCC